TCCTATCTGTTGCCTATTTAAACAAGAAATACTTTATTAGAATATTTGCATATAAAATAACATTTCTATCAACAGATTGATATTACTTAAATTTCTTTTTCTCTTTTCCTCTTTACCTACAGGGTTCCTACGCAAGTATGGAAAGTATGGAAAAGTATGGAAATAAATTTGGTCAATTTCCAGGTATTAAAAGGTATGGAAAATGAAAAATAAAGTATGGAAAAATATTTATGTTTCCAGACTATTACCACTGTTCTAAAATACTGTTTTCTAAAATAGGAAATTAAGTATTTCCAAAAATACCAGATGTCGCATATTCTCTGGGGGAAAAAAAAACAAAAAACGCCAAGAAGTCTGGAAATTAGGGTATGGAAAAGTATGGAATTTTGAAATTCCAAATGTGTAGGAACCCTGTACCTATTTTTCGTTGTAAAAAACATTGATTAACATCCACAATAAACTCAATAAACTATGTAAATATTTACTATTTAAATCACGCTGACGGCGTTTGAGCCAACCACAAGAATGTGTGGAATTTCGTTGGTTTCATTCATTGTTTGTCCTGTCCTGGTGCAAATGGCGTTTTTTGACGTCCATGGTCCAGTTGTGGAAAAATCAAACGCCTCAGTACAATAAATCAAACGCACCCCAACCACTGTGTTTCGGAAGTAGACACACATGTGCAGTCACGTACTGCTGAGAGTGAAATCCCTGATCGTTAGCTCACATGCAGCTTGTTCAAGCTGTTCTCTGTGTTGTTGAAATTAATCAAAATAACATGGAACCTATCTGCTTATTATGCTACTGATTTTAATTGGGATATTTTTTGATGAACTGAATGACATTTAACGGAGTGTTACACATCTCGAGGGCTGGGCTCATACACCGGACTCTCTCCCAGGGGAGGGACTTGGGGAGAGAGGGAGATGTACGGAGTCTGGACAAAGCTCCGCACGGAGCACGGATGGTTCAGAAGCAATTCGGAACGAGTTAAAAGCAATTAATAAACAGACAAAGTGGTGTTTAAAATTGCATATATTGCAGGGTTCAACACTAAGGTTTTTTTTCACTTGCCCAGTTTATAGGGCAAGTAAAAACTGACTTCGGGCAAGTAGATCTCTGACCAACTTGCCCAAAGTCAGTTTTTACTTGCCCTATAAAAATTGTTTAATTTAAGCGGCTATCAAATAACAAAGACTGCAGTTATTTTTATGTTATGTAATCTTTATTCACACTATATTTATTAATTAAAACAACATATGTCATGTATTGTAGCTTAATTCCTACACAAAATGACAGTGTCAGGGCTTAAAGTGAAAAATTTGTCAATCGTTCTCCGTCTATAATTTTGCGCCCTACTTGAGCCATGCCCACCTCTATTTATTTTTCACCCCTCTCTCCAGTTCTGCTGTATTAACACCAGGTTTAATATATTTTGCTTCCATCTCTCTGCCCTGCTCTACTGTACTTCAACGCTACTTAGCTCTCTCTCTACTCTACCAGTAGACTACCACATCCACCTGTTGCACAAAACGCACACAGCAGTGTTTCCCCTAGGATGGAGTTGTAGCAGCAGAGGTGAAGCACACCCATGAAAAATAATTTTCACATGCGTGAAACTTTTTTGTATGCTTGCAAAGCACAGCCTGCTGGGATGTTTCTATGTATCTGCTGGCACCAGAAAGGCTCTTTAGGACTAAGTACATACAGTACATGTGTGCACAGTATGAGCAGGTGAAATGTCTGTCTAGCTTACATATGAGGTGTCTCAAGATTTAGGAACATACAATTGTATTGAATATAATAAAGTAAAAAGTCACTTGACATGCTGCTGTTTTGTGCTATGATCTATTTAAGTGTTGGAAGTTGTTATTTACGTGACAACGCCTGAACGCAACACAAGCTCAGCATGAGTGCCGCGTTGCCAGCGTGTTTGTCTGTGCGTAACAGCAATCTGTTGGTTATTTACACAGTGTCCATTTCAATAACTTTGTCAGCTGACAAACTGCACCGGGCTCGGGGTCAGGTTTGGTCAGGAAAATGTGGCCCGAGCCGCTCTAGCGTGCTCACCTGTGTGTGTGGCGGAACTCCGCCGTGCGCGATACAGAGAGCAGAGGAGAATTGTTAACGCGTGACCATGTAGAGACAGAAATGGCACGATGGCAATACACCATAAATAGTATATTGTTATGTTATTATATGAAGTGTCCGTCGCGCAAAATAATATCAATGGGGGCTGTGGGCAGGACATTGTTACACAGCTGTGCCTGTGACTTCAGGCAGAGAGACCGCTGCATCAGAGCAGAAGAGCACGTTTTAAAATACATTTATTTTATCAATTAGTTATTAACTTTTACTATTTTTAGCAACTTGCCCGATCGGGCAAGTGAGTTGTTAGTTTACAAGCCTGACCGTGAGTTTTACTTGCCCCGGGCAATCGGGCAATCCTTATTGTTGAGCCCTGTATTACTAGTAGATCTATTTTCTGGCCTAAAGTGCAGCAGTGACTGGTTATGAATGTGGTCTTTCGCAGGCAGCTGCTCTCTCCTCTTCCTCATCACCCCCTCGCTCTGAATGTAGGCATGGACTGTATGGCATATACTGCCCCCATCAGTTCCGGAAGAGTCATAGCACCAATTCTTACGCTGGTATTGGTTCTTCCTTCTTTTTTTTCCCCAAAAAAAGGAGTATCTGCGGCTTTTTTTCATCATGGAATTGAAAGGTAGTAGTGTGTCAGTAGTCAGTAGTGTGGGTTATCATTATGGGTTTGTCATAACAGACATCCATCTGCCCAATAATAGGGTCCAGTTATATTACCCTATGTTGTAGCTGACTGCTTCACTAGTCGATATAACTTGTTATTTTTATGTCTAGCTGTTGGTTGAGGTTATGAAGTTATAACCTAATCATAATGCTTTGTCCTAGTTCATCTATCTTGTTGTTTTTTGGTGATAAATGTTAGCCACAATAGTGCTTTTCCATGATTGGCCACAGGTAGTGGTAGACTCTACACCAACCCAGCCAAGATGAAGCGTACATCTCTGTGATGCGACTGACCAACGACACAGCTTAATGAAACTAACTAGTTGCAATGTATAGTCTTGTGTTGATGTTGTATTGTATTCTTTCTATTCTATTCTATTGAACTGGTCTTCTCCTGCATTGCTGCAGCTATTGTGGCAGCTCTCTTTAAGTAATGCTGAAGTCAGGGTTTTGTTTAATGAATTATCTCCTTTTTATCCAGTCTTTCCTAAATTTATTGTGATTTGAATTTTTTACTCATCACATTAGCTCGGATATGTGCACAGTGTGCTTAAATAGAGCAACTCTCCTCAACATTACAGAGCGTATACAGTATTGAACTGCATAAAACAACATCAACAGCAGGCAAGCTGCTTTCAGTTAACAACTCTAGTAGCTGGTTGAAGTGTGACTCTCTGCAGTAAAAGTAGAGTCCAAGACATGGTGTCTCAAATGAATCCTTGTCCAAATGGGATGTTTGCAGTAGCTGAGGCTTGTTCAGCAAAGCCAGCCTGTTAGTTTGACATTAACCATGACAGAATCCGGTCTTTCTTCGAACAGCCACACAGTAGCCCCTTTTTTCTCTTTGATGCAAACTTTGTGCTGAACACTTCATTTTGTGACTCAAAACTTGTCAGATAACCAAGGATGTACTCCTTCTCAAGTGGAACAATTGTGCAGCAGTAGTGCCACTGTACAGCATGCAAAAACTCAGGCCTCTACAATACCGTAGTTATGTCAGCACATGCTATGTATTGTATCAGCTGTCCCAGCCTCACCTGGATGTGCACAGCTCAGCTCTCTTTAAACTGTATTCATCCTAGTGGGAATAACCAAAAGTGTGGGGAATGCTGCTAGGGATGCTGGTGCTGTCCAACATCTGATATTTACATAATACACCTGTGACACAACAGGGGAGGGAGAGTGTGAGAGAGACAAAAAATAAACACTGATAAAACAGAGGGAGGGGGAAAAAAACAGAAGACAAATAAGAGAGAGAGAGCGGAGTAGCAGTCACAGCCGCCCCCCCCTCCTCCTCCTCCTCCCCTTCTCTCCCCTGCAAGCTGTGACAGGATGAGATGTGGGATAGTGACGTGACGGCAACATGACACAAAGCTGTTATCCTCTCCTGTCGAGGCTGGCTTGCTGGATAGCCAGATGACTGGCTGGGGCAGAACAGGTGCGCTTTTGTATCTATGTGTGTGTGGATGAGCCAGACACACATGCACAGACACACAAAAGCATTATGTCCTGCAGCCATCGTGTCCACTGGGGCGAGCTGTATGCAGGTCTGCATGTGTTGTATGGGTATCCCGAGCTGCAGAAGACAAGAACGAGCTTGACAATGATCCATGTCCTTGAAAGTTACCCTCCCCTCCTCCTCTTTACTTTTTTCTATCTTTATCACTCATGCACTGCTCCTTCTTTACCTTAACATCTTTCACTCTTCTTTCTTCCTTTACTGCATCTCCAGTTTTCTTCCTTCACTCTTTTTTGACCTTCCTTTCAATCTCTCCTTCTCTCCGGTGCATCCTCTTCTCCATCATCTCTCTATTCTTTCTATCTCCCTCTGTCCTTCACCCTCTTTTTTTCTCTTTCTCTCTTTCTTCTCAGGTCATTTCTGAAATTAGGTTGCGTGCATGTCTACAGTGGACCTCCTGCTCTGCTCTGAGGGCAAAATGTCACAGTGTGGGAGTAAGAGAGAGCCACAGAGAAGGAGAGATGTAGAGAATATTGCCTGTATCTGTTCCCCTCTCTTTTTTCTTCCTCCGTGCTGCCAACCTTTCATTTCTCTCTGTCCTCATCAACCTATCCATTTATTTTTCCATCTTTCTATCTTGATCCCTCTATCCAGTCAGGAAAAAGCTTTGTCAAGTGAAGAGCAGCCTCTCTGCTATGCAGCACTGTTCACACACACACACACACACACACACACGCACGCTCCCACCCCTGCCGCCTGCCGACATGGTACAGGCTGTGCATTGAGACAGCCCCAGCTGAGGCAGTAGCAGTGAGTGTGCAGCTTAGCGAGTCTCCACACACACACACGCACACCTACACTCACTCACACACACATACACACACACATACTGCACACCGCTGTGGTGGTTAGTCTGCTGCTGCATGTGCCGTTGCAATATCATTTTTAGGTGGGAGGATTTTCACGTCACGGTGATGGTGGTGATAACCTTGCTGCCATGTAAGTATACATTGCCCTTGTGTTAAATGGAAATGAATGAACAGCTTATCATGTGTTCACCGGTTTCGTTAGGTGCTTTTGATTCTGTTTGCATGAATCATCGGCATGTCGGTAGGATGTGATGTGTTAATATTAATCTGTACACGTTGTTCCGTGTGCATCTGTGGTTTGTGGGTGTGCAGAACATGGATAATATTGTAGGCAAGGTAGTTAAGAAGCAGGTGATCTGTTAGAGAGGGAAAGGAGGGATGAGGATGATCCTGCAGAATAGATGCATGTTTGGAGGTCTGTTTAAACTGTGTGTATCTATCTGTATATATCTATACATAAATCTGCATATATCTGCTGACACATTTACAGTTCATCATGTATGTTGTGTAGGTCTGTTCTTTACGTCAAACTCAGATTCTTTGGAGAAATTAAATCCCCTTGTCTTGTAATTTCTCTAGATGAAGATGTTTTTTTGCACACCTCCTCATTTAGTCAGGCCATCTGTTGGCTGCATGCAGTCTGCAGTCTCTTTTCTCTGTCACACTTACTGACTGGTTCTGTCATAGCAGCAGGCTTCGCTGCCGTAACTGATCATGTGTGTTTGCCTGCTAGCTGTCTTCACTGCATTAACTAACTGACTATTTGGCAAGGTGGCTGAATTAATAGGGAACATTATCACCTCTCCTCCTTGATCTGTTGGATGTCTGTTTTTCTGGATGGCTGGCTCTGTGGCTGATTACAGTCAGTGGCCAGTGATTTGGTAATTTCACTGGCTGGTTAGTTGAATGTTGTCTTGCTTGTCAACTGACTGATCATCACACTAGCTGAAAGACAGGGTCACTGGCTTGTTGTCTGGTTGGCTGACTTGTCAGTCAGTTTAGTAGACAGCCAGTTAGTCAGTGTGTGCACCAGAAAAAGAAAACCATTCAGAGACACGTCAGTGAAGCTAGGCAGTCACTCAAACAACCAGTCAGCCTTTGGCATAGCCACCAAGTCGTTCAGTCATTCAGGCATTTATTCAGTCAGCAAGCCAGTCATTTAATCAGTCAGCCACAATGTTAGACAGGCTGTCATAGGAAATTGATTGCGCCTCTGTTGGGGCTGGGATGACTGTGTGACCTCAACCATCAGCTCCACTGCACCACGACAGCCATACAGCTCAGAAGCAGAGTGTCAGTCCTCTTTCTGTCCCTTTCTCCTGTACACTTTCTCTCACTATGTCCCGCTGGACACATAAAGCATGCAGGTGATGAGACGTTACTGAACAAAAGTACACACAAATGTGCACACAGACTGAAAATGGAGGAATGATGCATAGGCTGTCTTGTTGTCCTCTGAAACTTCATGTCCTTAAACACAATTATAGATATTTAAATGTTGACATTATAGGATAGAAGTAGCACAGGAAGCATGCAGTGACATTTTCCACTACTCTTTTCTTTAACCTAAGGGTAGATGAATATAGGATAAAGAGATGTAAAGTAAAGTCACCATGTGAACTTCAACTAGTCCTTCACTTGCTGTTTGAAAATACCAAGGCTCCTTTCTCCTGCGAATGCATACACAAAAAATGTATGTCTATAACATTAGTATTTACCTATGTTCCTGAAATTCATCATACTTTAAATGTGATTTAACAACCATTCAAATGAAAAACAGGAGCTTTCAAGAAAAACAAACAGCCTAGAGAGAAAATCCATACCTTGCTCTGCTCTGTCATATCTCCTATAGTCAAGAGAGAATCTGTTAGCGACGCAGTGCTTTAGATTTTGCTGTGTCATCATCACCTCTGTGTAGCATAGTGACAAACACAGTGGTAAAACAGATTTGACAGTTCTTTAATAAAAAAAAAAAGAAAAACTTGAATATGAAACTTGAGCCAAAGACAGTTACAGTAAGAATTTATTTATTTATTCTTGTCTTGTTGGAAATAACAAATGACAGGAAATGATGGTAACATTATAAATAGCTCTATTTGATTTTGTAAGCCTGTCTACCAGTGGAAGAATTCTTAGAAGACAGAGAGGAAAGAAAAGGATAGGTGAGGAGGGTGAGAGGGGGGAGTATAGGTAGCTGCTGAGAGGGAGAAGGCTGTCATGCCGTTTGAGGATGGTTTAAATGCAGTTCAGTCTCCTAATTCAGCTGCATTGAGGTGGCTCTGTAAGGAAAATTGGGGATTTTGAGCTATAAATTAAAAAAAATCACTAGACTCAGAACATGTCATGTGTGTACTGATATCATCCTTTAGATGCTTACATTGGCTAAATGTTAAAACTAGGTTTGTTTTGAAATTGTGACTACCTCATTAAATGTACTTTAAATAAACATAAGATGTGCTGAATGGCAGGATTTAAGCTACTGCAGGCAGTCACTTGACATCAGCACCCACTTGCTTTGAGTGTAATGTCTCACTGCTGGGTCCACCAACAAGCATCTGTGTTTTTCTAATTCATCTTATCCAGGTGAAAAGACTTTGAATCCAGTCACCCATTAAAATCTGACAGCAGTGATTGTGTTTGTGCACATACATGTGTGTGTGTGTGTGTGTGTGTGTGTGTGTGTGTGTGTGTGTGTGTGTGTGAGTGTGATGCAGTAAGAGACAGTGATTAATAGCTTTTATCTATCTCTATTCCTGACTTGTCAGTTGATATATTCTTGGTGTGTTGGTTGAGTGAGGACTTGCTTCACACACTGTTAAGTTCAATATGTTTGAGTTGCTCCTTGCCACATTTAAATTATACGATGTGTGAGGGCAACTCCATTTACTTTGGGTTGATTAAAACTTCTGCTTCTTTCCTGTTCATATCAGTATGATTGGATCCCCTAACCTGACCTGGCCAAACCAAATTGCAAATGAGAATTAGTCTTAAACCTCGGTGCCCTTGGTGCATTTTCCATTTTCAAGGGGTGTTATCAACGGGTTATCAACATGTGACGTTGAACGACCAGTGACCAGGTCCGCCTGGTGTAGATGGCCATTCACAGTACATTAGGGCGGAACTTGATATAATGTGGGGAAAAAAAATAATGCCTAAGCGACGAAAAATGTAAACAGGCAACAGCGTGCAGAGATGAGCTGATGTATTATGAGTGACTATATTAAACATTTGCAGTATCCTGTCATAATTAAGGCAAACACATCTTCCTTCTTGAGCAAAGCTTTAGGTGCAGTTGATCTGCTGATCAGTTGTTGTTTTTTTTAGTGAAGATTTACCATCCAGGTTGTTACATTCTAATGTGATAGCTGCTTTCAGCCATATTGGTTGTTTTCAAAAACTCCTCAGCAGTGCTCCTCAAACACGGCCCGTACAAGATAAACAATTGTGATTGGCCCAGCAGATCTCAAGTTGCTGGAAATCTTTCGAAAGTGAAATATGGACTGGACACATCTGCCAGAGCAAATAAAACATGAGCTTGCAGATTTGTCTGGTTCACAGGCAAGGAAAGTCAAAATCATCCATGGTTTGACAACAGGCGCAAAGCTGTTTGAGACAAAGTTGGAGTGCTAATTTGGGGCGGGGTTTCATAGTGTTGTCGCTTCAAATAAACTCACTCGCACAACTGTCTCTGGAACGCCCACAGCTATGGTCGTGTTTATGCAGATCAAATGGCAAAGTGCAATTCTGTTTATTTGCGTCATTGTGAACCTGCACTTACTGCTTTCCTGCTTAGACCACCTCTCATTGAATGAATCTTCAAAAGGCAGTTGCTCTACTTCATGGATGTACTTTTAATATGCATTTTTCATCTGTAAACACTTAGATGTAGATAATATAGTCTTGTTAATGAGATTAAGGGGGTGTTGGGGTTGAGGATTAGCAGCACGCATTGCTGTCTACCACAGTGTCTTATTTGATGCCACCACTGGGGGCACCAAAGTCAGGAATTTATAAATCTTACACTTAGTTGTTAAGTGACAATGCTGCACTTCTATATCTGCAGCATGATATGTGTTTTTCCATGTAATATATTGCAGTGTTATTCATTAGTCTGTTGTTTCACTCTCTCCACTTTCTTCAGTGCTCAGATGATCAAAGGAGGAGGCAGAAATAGTAAAGCTGGAAATAAAAGTGTTGATAACAGCTTGTACCATGTCATCATCAGCTCACACTCTGATGATGAACAGCATATGTCATTTTATAGCCTCACATGATTGCCATAACAACACAGGTGTGGTACACTGTGCTCATCTCAGGACTCAAAATAAAATGTCATGCTATAAAATGGCAGTTCAGACACACAAAATTCTAGGCGGTGTTTGTACTCGGTAGGTATTTGTCAGAATTCAGTATATCCAGATAAGTAGTAGAGATTTCTTGGGATGTCATTAGCAAACTTAAATGTTACCTAATGTTTATAAAATTAGTTATTAAAAGGTAGATAAATTCTCAGTTTAAGGATACGTTCTACATGATGGGCCGATAATATGACCATTGATGTGTGGCTTCAGCCTATTTTGCTGTTGTCTTTCCCTGTGTTATGCGCAGCAAGGCTAGATTTAAAGGACTATTGTTACTCATTCACTCTTTTTTTCTTCTCTCCTCTTCACCCCTCCTTCTGTCTTTACTCCCCATCTAGCACACTTAGCTTGCATGTGTTGAATTTAATTAGACCAATAACTCCCTCGTGATTTCTACAGGCTCATCTGGAGCAAGGAGAGGGCCACAGCAGTCTTTTTTTCTTTCTGTCTTCCACTGACCTTGCAGCAGGAAGTTAATGTGCATGTGTTGTGTGTGTGTGCGTGTGCGTGTGTGTGTGTGTGTGGGCATGCATAAGAATGTGCACACGGCATATACATTTGCATTGGAATGCATGAGATGTGTGATCTTGCTCAGTGAATGCATTAATATAAATGTATGCATGTATGTATGGCTAAAATGCTCGATACAAATACAGCTAAGTCAAGTTTTGCTGTCTTTCGGTCTTCAGAATGCCTAACTTGTGATCTTGATGATACTTAATTAACACATACAAACTGTGTGTCACACTGTTATATGCTTATTCAGTTC